GGAGTATAACCTTTAAAATTTGTGAATCACTGTATTGTACACCTGTAACTTATATAATATTGTACAGCTGTACTTTAATTGTACACCTGTACTGTACTTTAGTGTTCACCTGTAACTTGTACACCTGTACTGTACTTTATTGTATACCTGTAACTTATATAATATTGTACAGCTGTACTTTAATTAAATTACTTAATTAATTAAAATAAGGAAACAAACAAAAAACAGAAGAGGAAAACATTTTGCCTTTCCCCTTATTCTTAACCCAGAATTTAACTCTTTTTCGGGTGATTGATAGTGGAAATCTCCATTTCCTATAGAGTAGGGGTTTTTAACTAGGCTGATTCCTCAGCCTCCTACCCCTAGGACATTGGCGATGTCTAGAGACATTTTTGGTTGTGATGATGTGGGGTGAGGGGAGGTGCTACTGACATCTAGGGAGTAGAGGCCAAGGATACTGCTAAACCTTCTATAATGCCAATGTCTGGGACAACCACCAACAATAAAGAGTTGGCCCAAAAGATCAATTGTGTTAAGGCTGAGAAACTCTAGAGCAAATCTTACTTCTTCCTGCAAAGGTAAGGTGTTGCCCTTTGGCTCCCAGAAGATAGGGTAAATTTATTCTTCCTGCATCATTCACTTGTAGGGCTTCAATACCAAAGTCTAGACTGTGTTTTGGAAATTCCATTTCAATACCATTTATTGTTCCTTCACCTGCATAAGATGAAGGTGAACTTTCACATCCTTTATGTCATCTTGAAGCATCTACTCCTCTCCTGTGTATAAATGTTGGTGCTAGAACACACATCTTTCAAGAACCACTAACAGTACAGTCTAAATCACGATTTAAGCTAAAATTCTCCTATGATGAAGATAGTATTTTATTACACTATTATTTTTTAAAATTAATTAATTTAATTTAATTTATTTTTGGCTGCATTGGGTCTTCATTGCTGCATGCAGGTGCTCTCTAGTTGTGGTGAGCGGGGGCTACTCTTCATTGTGGTGTGCAGGCTTCTCATTGCGGTGGCTTCTCTTGTTGAGGAGCACGGGCTGTAGGTGCGTGGGCTTCAGTAGTAGTGGCTCGCGGCTCTAGAGCACGGGCTCAGTAGTTGTGGGCGCATGGGCTTGGTTGCTCTGCGGCACGTGGGATCTTCCTGGACCAGGGCTCGAACTCATGTCCCCTGCATTGGCAGGTGGATTTTTAACCACTGTGCCACCAGGGAAGACCCTTTGTTACATTATTATTCAAAACTTTAGCTCCTGGGGACTAAACTGCCTAGGATTTTGTCTTTTCCAAATAAAAGTCTTTAGTTAACTTAGAAAGTTCCAAGAGTTCTGGTCTTTCCAGAAACAGAAAAATACTTGTACTAATGATGAATCCATTTCCCAACCTCCTACAACATAAATAATCTCCTTAATTTTGAAATTAGTTTGCAGAAAGTTTTAAAGTTCTCTTTACCGACTCACTTGGATTTCCCCTTCCCCCATTTGTTTTAGCAAATAAAAACTTTTCCAGGCATGTGGCTTAGGGTGGGGCCAGCAGATGATCTATGGTGGACCCAAGGTTATGACCTTTTCACTGTTGAGGTACATCATCTGGAAAACTATGGTATAAATGAGATTCCTGTAATGATGGTCTTCTACACCTTTATCACATTACGCTGAAGGGAAATGATAAACAAGAAATCAAAGGCAGGACCACATTCTAGCCAATTGTACATATTGACTTGCTCCCCAGATCATCTATTTATAAGATCTTTGTAGGTTGATGTGCTGGGGTTTAAATATGAATTGCTGATGAATGAGCATCAATTTTTCTATATAAATAGGTCTTGGACAGGAGGCAACAGACGTTTTGACAGTATTCATTAAATAGATGTGTAACTGCTTATCAAATACATGAAATTAATTTAGAAACCTATCAGTTGAGTCTTCTTGATTCCAGTAAGGAAGAAATTATTATTGACTTTCTCCAATGCAAGAAAATTGGATTAGACAATCATGACCATTCCTTTCAGTTGTAAAATCTGTGATTTATTTTCCCTGCTAGTCAAAACTAATAACAGATATCCTCAGGAATTTTAAATGAGGTTAGATATGGAGCCTGGACAGTAGCCATTTTTTGTGTGACACAGTTAATTTGAAAAGAAAAGAACAGGAGTAGATGATCTGATGGGTGAGGGATTTAGAGGCATGTCCCTTTTTACTTACATAAATTTTACTAATCAATTTCTTTAATATAGTTACATAAGAAATTTTACTAATATTTAATTATTGACATATATTGCTTAAACTATGTTTAGAGGCAAAGAACCTTAAGCATTTAATCAGAAGGATAGGTTCGATTCATGGCTGTTTCTTATTAGGTATGTGGCTTTTTCCAATTATATTAAGCACTTTGAGTTTCTGTTTCCTCATCTTTAAAATATACGTTGTCTCTGAGGTACTCTTCAATTATATTTATTCAATAACTATTTATTGGGAGACTTTATATTCTTTTTTTTTTTCCCCTTTGGCCGCACTGAACCTGACCAGGGATCAAACTCATGGCCCCTGCAGTGGAAGAGCGGAGGCCTAACCACTGGACCACCAGGGAATTCCCTATATTCTTTCTTTAAACCATTTTAAAAAATTGAAGTATAGTTAATTTACAAGGTTGTGTTAGTTTCAGCTGTATGGCAAAGTGATCCAGTTTTATACAAATATATATATATAGATATAAATTCTTTTTCAGATTCTTTTCCATTATAGGTTATTACAAGATATTGAGTATAGTTCCCTGTGCTACAGTAGGTCCTTGTTGTTTAACTATTTTATATATGGTAGTGTGTATATGTTAATCCCAAACTTCTAATTTACCTCTGGGAGCCTTTATATTCCAAATACTATGGAAGAGTCAAAGATCAATAAGAGCCCAAAGGAACCTTGTGTATATGCATATGAATGTTCCAGATTATCTTCCCTTTGTCCCTGTTGGGCACTTTCTTTCCGGTGCCTGGTTTTGCTCAGTGGTCACCAAATTGGGTACACAAAGCAGTCTGTTGAATGCAGGAAGAAAATACTAGAACTTCTATTCTGATTTGTTTTTTATCCTTTTCCTGGGGCAACTGTGTGATAGTTTCAAATTTACAGAAAAGTTACAAAAATGGTAAAAAGAACCCTCATACTTCCTTTACTGCATTCATTAATTATTAAGAATTTCCCCAGTTGTGATTTATTCTCCCTCTCCCAAAGCTACATACTACTGGGGCTCTCTCTCTCTCTCTCTCTTAGAGAGATGGGTTGTCTATCCATCTATCTATATCACATGCACATATACAATTATATATATGTGTATATATATATATCATGCTCCATTGCCCTAAATACTTCAGGGAGTATTTTCTAAGAACAAGGACATTCTCTCACTTGACATCAATACAATAATTAAAATTAAGAAATTTAGCATTGATACAGTAGTAATATCTAATTCACAGGCCATATTTAAATTGCATCACTTTCCCAATAATGTCCTTCACAGCTTTTTTTTTTTCCAATCCAGAATTGCACATTGCATTTCATTGCCATTTCTCTTTAGTTTTTCTAAATATGAAGCAGTTTTAATATTTTGAAGCATACAGGCTTCAAATGCTTTTGTAACGTTTCTCTCAATTTGAGGTTGTCTGATGTGTGCATTTTTTGGCAGGAATACCACAGAAAAGATGTTGTGTCTTTTGTGATGCATGGGGCATCTATTGGTCTCATTACTAATGATGTCAAGTTTAATCAGTTGGTTCAATTGGTCTTCCAGGTCTCTGCACTTTTGCATACAGAGGAGAAAGAAATATGACATACCCTTATGTTGAGGCAAAGGAAAATTCAGTTAAGTCTAGTTTAAGATTAACTGACACATATAAGGGGAATGGACCTGTTTTGGGTTGTCATGTTTATTAAATCTAAATATAGACTGCAAATCTTTAGTTCCTTATTATGTGTATTTACATCAATGAATTATTTACAAATATTTATTGTTTTAGGCGTTATCACTACAAGTTCCCTCCAATAACCTTAGCTTGCTTCCTAAATTCAGGAGTCAGGACAGCACCAAACATAGAGATATTGCTTTGTTAGTTAGGGTGACAAGATATATATAAGGGCTAGGGAAAGACATGGAAAATAATATCTGCAGGAGGCAACTGGAATTTCTTCATAAAGATTTGTTACTTTGCCTAGTAAAGATTTGTTAAACTCAGAAATAGAAAACAAAAGAAGATAATAACTGAATTTGAAGGACAAAACTTAGGTAAGGGACAAACTATGATTCACCTATCCGTAAGACAATAGCATTTTAAATTATAAACAAATTTTTCTGTTTTTTTCCTACAAAATAGTCATAATTTTTATAAGTTGTTGTACTCTTTAAAAGATCACCCCCTTTGACTGTCAAAGGATTTGTTGAGCTTTTTCTGGTATATGTTTATTTTATTTCTATTTATTTATTTTTAATTGGAGTATATTTGCTTTACAATGCTTTGTTAATTTCCACTGTACAGCAAAGTGAATCAGCTTTATGTGTATTTATATCCCCTCTTTTTTAGATTTCCTCCCCATTTAGCTCACCACAGAGCATTGAGTAGAGTTCCCTGTGCTGTACAGTAGGTTCTCATTAGTTATCTATTTTCTACATAGTATCAATACTGGATATATGTCAATCCCCATCTCCCTATTCATCCGATTCCCCCCTTCCCCCTTGGTATCCATACATTTGTTCTCTGTATCTGCGCTGGTATATGTTTAATATTTTGGATATATCTAGACGAGGTGCTGGAATAAAATAAAGGCATCTAACATTTGTGAAGTTGGAAAAATAAAAGTAATTCATTGGAGGCAAGCAGAGATGGGTAAAATTTAGAAGAGTAGAATGACATATTCGACTTCCATTATGCTGTTGCTGTATAACTCAATTTGTTTGCGTTATGTTTTATGCTTCTTCCTCACCTGCCCCCCTGAATCTTCAGAAAGGAGCTCATTGCCAAGCTGGATCAGGCAGAAAAGGAGAAGCTGGATGCCGCTCAGCTGGCTCGGGAATTTGAGGCACTGACGGAGGAGAATCGGACATTGAAGCTGGCCCAGTCCCAATGTATAGAACAACTGGAGAAACTTAGAATACAGTATCAGAAGAGACAGGGCTCGTCCTAACTTGAAATTATTCAATGTGAGCATAAGAGGTTGGTGGCTGCTATGCACTGGCCAAAAGATTTTTATTTTAAAGGGATAGTGAGTAAAATCTATTGCTTCTCCTTATTACCCACATGGCCGACGTCTATACTAACGAGTTTAATGCTTGCCTGATATAGTTTGAGAGAAGGGTTATTTTATTTTAAATAAGGTAATTAAAACAAACCTATTACCAGATGTTTTCAGAGATCATAATTCGTTTCCAAAGATATTTTTTTTTCTTATTTAGCAAAATACGATCATACTGTAGATCTGGGTAGAAAATGATAGAAATAGAACATTGACTGATTCTACTAAGAATCATGAACAGAATTCAGCCATGAAACAAACTAGTAAGATGCTCACTGCAGTTTCTTATCTGTGTATTTTAAAGTTTCACACCTTCAATATTTCTACGGTGCTCTAATCTGAACTGTCAGAAACTTCTCCAAATATATTTATGTTCACCAGAGTTAGGTTTAATCCCTCAATGATTGATTGTACTAAGAATAAATGGTTGCATATCATAAAAGCTTTCTCATGAAAATATTAGCGGAAAGCATGTTTGTGCCAGAAGCACATTTGCCAGTGCTAACTTGCTGTTGTAATAAAAAGCTGATAAGGCTGCATTTTCTCCATGCCACGTTACCTCGTGGTAAACATCTCTGCCTTTGCTTGTGTGTGTTCTGGGAGAAATGGAAAAGTATTGTTTGGACATTACCTTGGTGAGTTCCCATGAAAACAGCCCAGTAATTTGAACAGTAAAATTCTAACTATTACTCTGTTTTGGATTTAAGGAGATGTTTTGGATCAATGATAACTAATAAGAATATATGAGTAAATTTAAGATTAAAATGATTTTTCCCTTGTTCTATCTATCACCATAGTTTTCCAAATTGATCTCTTTGTTTTATGTCCATTTCTATTCCTGTAACTTCTTTTTCATTAAACATAGATCAAAACTCTCAGTCTGTATTTTGTCTCTTTCTTAACCTCAATTTATGCTAAAAGTTGGGATGGGTTAACCCTAGTCAGAATTTGCTCTTAGTTGTATTTGGAAGTGCCAAAAAAGCGGTGGAGTCCCTTTTCTTGTAAGACTGTGGTTTCTCATATAAATAACTCAGAGCTCTATACTGAATATGGTCATTAGTGTCTTAAAGTATTTGCCCAGAAAACATAAAAGAGAATAGTTGATTAAAGCAATAAGATGGCCTGGGATAGACTGGTTTTTATCAACTGGGGGTGATTTTACCCTCAAGGGACATTTGGCAAAGTCTAGAGATATTTTTGTTGTCATGACAAGGATGAGGGGGCGGGTGCTACTGGCATCTGGAGAGTAGAGGCTGGGGATACTGCTAGACATCCTGCAATACACAGGACAGCATCACAACAAAGAAGAATTGTTTGGCCCAATATGCCAATGGCACAGAGGTTGATGAACCTTGGGTTAGACTAATCACTGGGCAGCTGGGCAAATGCCAAGCGGAAACATGATGCAGGGCCATGGGTTTCTTGTCATATGGTGTGTTTCCATAAGGTCCTTAGCATCCTTAACCTCAGTCTCCTCATTTGTAAAATGAAGCTTTTTGATAGCTCTCATCGAAATGTTATGAGAGCCTATGAATGTTATGTGAGCCTATTCACCTTTCAGCTGCTTTAACATTTAACTAAAGGTGAAAGTCCCTATTATCCTGGTAGAGCCTTCTTTTTAAAAGAACCCCAAGGCTTATATATACTAATATAAAGGAGGAATTGTTGACTAAATTTATATAAATCTAAGGTCAATGGAATGGAAGGATGAAGGGTAAGTTACCTAGCTTTAAATACAACGATTAGTTGTTGATCACTGCCCATCTGAAGAGGGTTACACGTATTTACAGAATTCAAGCAGTCATGGCACCTTATAGAAAATAGGAGGGGAGGGCATGGAAATATAGTTGCAAAATCTCTCTGCTCTACTAGAATGAAAATAATTTTACAAGGTCAAAGTATTTGAACACACTGTTATTATGTTAAGGAGACACTGAGTAAATAGTTTTCCTATCTGTTCTAGTCTCAGCCTGGAATTTTACTGTTTCCAAAAGATATCTATTCATGACTCAAAAGTAAGGATTTCTATAGGTGTGTATGTGTTTTAATATTTTTTAATTGAAGTATAGCTGATTTACAGTATTATATTAGTTTCAGGTGTACAGCATAGTGATTCAACATAGGAGTGTGAGTTTTAAGCAGACTTTTATTCATTAAAAATATAAAAACATCTACATTTGTAGCATTGTCAGAGAAATCTAAAGGCAAAATTTCTTATATTGTCAGTTTCATCTTTTCATTCATTTGACAAATTTCCTCCAATCTTATTTACCGCTGCCTATTGTCTGTATAACATAGAATCATTTAAGAATTTTATATCTTCAAATATACTTACAATGTTCTTGCTATTAGCAATAATGAAAAATTTATAGAGCATTAAAAATGAGTACAGAGGTTCTATTAGTATTAAGACGAAGTGCTTGCTTTAGAGCTAGAATTTAAGAAAAATGTAACCCACATTATACTGTGTAACTGCTCTGCTAAAGAATTTGCTATTTGTGGGCCATTTAGTTTATATAGACATAAAAGAATGTGGTTACAGGTGACTAAAAGTCCAGTCTCTTCTCATTGGTGTTGGTATCTTGATGTCATTCTGGTACCTGGGCTTGGATGTATCATTAACTCAGTACAAACAAGGAACTAAGAGGGATCTGGAATTCAAATTCAATTCAACAGAAGTTTACTATTTACTTACCAAGTGCAAAGCAGAATAACAGCAAAAATGAATGACACAATCCCAGTGTTCCACACTTTGGGAGGCAGTAGATAGTCTTCTCAGAGGGTATATGTAGGGGGATAGTGACAAATTAAGTTGAGAAGTTCCACTGGGCCCTGGTTGTGGGAGAGTTTGGACAAAATAAAGATTTTGAAAAGAGGAGTGAATGGTCAGGGCTGGTCTTGAAGAAAATGAATAGGGTTGCGGTGTACAGGATGGATGGATACCAGAAATTGTCAGGCTAATAGGAAGGACTGTGCAACAAGGGAGAGTGGCAGCAGCTGGATTGGAGGAACAGACTAGTAGGGTTGGGAGAGACAAAATGAGAAGGAGAATCCACGTGCCTTGGGATGGATGGCAGGTGTCATTGAAGCAAAAAGATGAATAAAAGTAATGTTTAATGAGCCCTTTCTGTACCAGAAAAATCCAGGTTCATCATATAGGCTGTATTATTTAACTCTCAGAACAGCCTGAGAGGTAGCTATAATTATCCCCATTCCCTAAAGCCAGAAATTAAGGTTACATAATTTGTACAGTGTTTCGCAGGGCTGGGATTCAAATGCAAATTGACTTTTTACCTTCCCTCCCTGCCTCCCTTCCTTCCCTCACTCTGCCTTTCCTTCCTTCTTTCCTTCTTCCTTCTTTCCTTCCTTCCTCCCTCCCTCCCTTCTCTTTCTTTCTTTCTTTCTTTCTTTTCCTTCTTTCCTCCCTTCTTCCTTCTTTCTTTTCTTTTCTTTCTTTCTTTTCTTTCTTTCTTTTCTTTCTTTCTTTCTTTCTTTCTCTCTTTCTTTCTTTCTTTCCTTCTTTTCTTCCTTCCTTCCTTCCTTCTTCCTTCCTTCCTTCCTTCCTTCCTTCTTTCTTTCTTTCTTTCTTTCTTTCCTTCTTTCTTTCTTTCTCTGAATGCTTGTACTTTGCCAGGCATTCTGGAAGGTGTCAGGGACACAACAGTGCACAAGAGGAATGTGGGTCTAGTAGTCAAGGAATCCTTAGTCTAGTAGGGAAGGTAAACATTTACTTAACAACCTACCTGGGGTAGTTTTAAATGTATCCAAAAATCCCCTCAAAAGGTAGAGCTTATTTCTCCTCCCCTTTAGTGTGGGGTGGACTTAACTTGTTTGTGACAAACAGGATAAAGCAGAAGTGGCAGTATGTGGCTTCCACGCCCAGGTCACAAAGACACAGAGCTTCCTTCTCCTCCATTCTCTCTTGGATCACTTGCTCTGGATCAGCTGGCTGCCGTGTTCTGAAGAGGCTCCAGCAGGCCTACGGAGAGGCCCATGTGGTAAGGACCTGAGGCCACATGAGTGAACTGTGAAGCAAGTCCTCCAATCCCAGGTGAGGCTGCAAATGGCTGCAGCCTCGTGAGAGACTCTGAACCAAAGCCACCCACCAAGCTGCTCCTGTTTCTGAGTCTCAGGAACTTTGAGATAATAAATGCTGTTTTAAGCCACTAAATTTTGGGGTGATTTGTTATGCGGCAATAGATAAAAAAATACAACAAATAAATGAGGCAAGTGCCAAACAGAAAAGAAATATAGTCTATGAGTTCATATACAAAAGAGAATCTAACTGAGATCTAGAGTCTGGGATGACTTCCTCAAGGTGGTGACTACTGAGCTGAGATCTGATGGATGAGTAAGAGCTAAAGAGGCAAAGAAGGCAGGAGGAGGAAGGTGTCTAGACAGAGTGAAACATGTGCAAAGGCCCTGGGGCATGTTCAAAGACTTGGAGGGAGGCCCATGTGGCTGAGCATGAAGAGGTATGGAGTGTGTGGTACAAGATGAGGTTGCAGGATAAGGCAGGACCTTGAATATCACATTAAGAATTTTGGCCTTAATCCTAAAAACAATAGGAAGCCACTGAAGACTTTCAAGTACAGGGACAACATGTTAACACATTATCTTCTAGGGTAACATGTTTCAAGGGTTTTCTTTGTTAAGTTACTTCATTTTAAGTTGCTTAGAGTGCTATACTGTGTGGCGTTATTTATACTATACACATTTAGCTAGCTATACAGTTGATAGGGTTATTTGTATAGGGTTATTATATACATTTTACTTGAGAAGTCATTTTAGTGACTATTTTTCTCCTTAGAGAGAAGGTAAACCCTTAATCGTATCATGTGGCCTGGCTTAGAATAGAAGACAGAATTTACCTCTGCTGTCATCATTAACATATTTAATTGAGTGACACTAATAATCCTGCCTTTTAATGA